AGTGAAAAAGTCTTTATAATTTATTCTTTATGCATTTCATTATTATTCATATCGCCTAGAACAATTCGCAGAATGTAGGCGTAAATGTAACTTGCAAAGGTGTTAATAAAAAAATTTCGATGTTGTGTTAAAAAAAAAAGGCTCTCTTAGAAAACGTGGTTCGTTTTCCTTAATTCGCGGAAAAGTACTATCGAATCGTAATGTACGACGAAAAGTGCATACGCTACAATATTCTGTGCAACCATGAAGACAAAGAAAAGAAAAGAGTTAACTGACGCCTGAGACAAAGATGCGCGGACCTTTTATATGGCACACGAGTGACTACAAGACGAATCTTTACTCTCTTTTTGTTCAATGTTTGCCAAAACTATTTTTATTTATTTATTCATTTTTTTTTTTCTTATCACTTAATTGAAATTATATTTTTCAAGAACTTTGCTTATCATCCTTTAAGCATGTTTGAAGTCAAAATTTAGAGGGTAATCGCGTAGCCGACACTTAGGCTTCGTTTTCGCACTCAGCTGTTTAACAATAACAGCTGAAAACGAAAGCAAATGCTAAATTTTTCATAAGTGATTACCCTTCGAACTCATTAAAATATTACCTTTAGATTGGCAACTCTGCAATCGCATAAATGGAAAACATGTTTGATCTTATATTGCTAAACGATCTTTTACTTCTCACATATAAGATTATTGAGTGTTTAGCATTTGTTGAGCGAAATTTCAGAAACAAAAAATGAAATTGAAAAAAAATATCCATTAATACGCACTAATTGGCCTGAGAGAATTATGTTAGATAAATAAATGCAAATGTTTTTAGAATTAAAGTTTAAAATAAATAAAAAAATAAGTTTTAAAGGCTTTGTTAAAATTCTCGTTAATGTTCAGTTTGTTATTAATGCAAACAGAGATACCCGGTGTACGAATTGAAATGAAACGAAATTTTTGAGTTTACTTTGATGATCTTTCTTAGATTTTAGTTGGGACCTAGTTTTGCGCCAGTCATGGGTATCAAAGCCGCATGGCTTTTTTAAAGATCTTATAACTTAAATAATTAAGGATTTTTATCCCGATCACATTATTGCATTTGATTATGTGAGATTTTTTCAAGGAATGGATCGGTGCGAAAGTACTGACTTAAGTTCTCCGAGTTTTACAGCAAGGTTGTGCAAGAATTTGTTTCACAATTTTAACGGTTATCTATAAAATTAGCCTTGAGTGACTGCGATCATTATTTCGACCCAGAGAAAACAGACCTGCCGATATAGTTTGAGACCGCTAATTGATAGTCAAAGCTATTTTTCGCAGTTAAGAAATATATATCAGGCGTGTAAACAAGTTCTTATCGATTTCTCTAAATGAATGAGAATGTTACTTTATCCATGAGCATCTAACCGAGACTTCTCTATCTGAAAGCACTGTCTTTGTATTTTGAGCAACGACATACTTTATGTAACCAAAGTGTTCACAATACAGTCTTCAAGAGTCTTTTATATATCGACTTTTTTTTTGGCAAAAAAGGCAAACATGAGAAGCGTTGAAGCAGGGTTGAATCGTGGCGTGTAGTGAAAAGTGGACGCGATAAAATATCACCAAAAGAAGAAAACCAAGCTTTTTGCCACTCTCGCTCGGTGCGATGAGACGGGCTGTTTAGACGTTACGACGAAACCATCATAACCGAACATTACCAACAGCAGCCTTTGACTAAACATTTTTCCATATTTTCCTTATTTTTAAATTTTCAAACAAAAATTCATAAAAGATCAGGACATTTCTACTTTAACTTGACAAATTAATCCAATATATTTTTCAATATTAAGTTAAATCTAGTGTGTTGTTTTCGCCGCTTGAGCTTACCCCTCGAGGAGTTTACATTTCATCTCTATGGCTATGAGGATTTACATGGTTGCGTAAAAAGTTTCCGTCTTAAGCCTTTTCTTACAAAATTGAATTTTGCTCATCAACGCAGGGTCCTTCAAAGATTTAAGTAATCAGTTCAACGGTCCTCTAACATTTCAGTATATCCTTTTGTTAAAACCACCAAAATACGCTTTGAGTCAAGTCTTTTTCGTACCACTATTTAGCGAAATTGATTGCAGTTTATCGCCATCACTGCTGGTACGGCTACGTTTCAATTCGGTGCAAATTGAGCAAATCGTAAGTCCAAAATTCAGCAAAACCCCCGGCCGCAGCGTTCAATATGTCATTAAGTTTTTATGTGTCTTGCCTCTCAAAAATAACTAGTTAACGACAGCCCGATATTCAGTCTCACTCATATCGACTCACATAAACGGTTGTCAAAGAACAATTGCGCATTGAGAATGGCTGAAATTTCGCTATATACTTGTCACCGCCATAATCTCTTTTTGGATCGGCATAGTTTTTGCAACGATTTGCGATAGCTCCGATATTGTGGTTGCTGAGAGTTTTTATGCTCACTAAAATAGTGATCACTCGTTGACCTTATCTCTTTTCCACTGAGTAATTAGTTTAAGTTTGAAAAGGGAACAAAAACCAAGGTGGATCAATCTGGCGAATAGAACGGATGAGTAAGTGATTCACGCAGTAACTTAGACTTGGTTTTGGCAACCGTAAACACGAAAGTGCGAAGTCGTACATTATTTACAGGTCTGTCCTCGCCGCTAGCATGGTGTCATTTGAATTTTACTACGCATTATTTTTGGTTGGTCTTCATATTCATCGCGTGGAATGAGACGTTTTAAATGGAAGTCTTGTATCTCATAACACTGGCAAATTTCTTAAAATTTCGCGTTTGTATTCTCGAAGGCGGGATGGTAATAACGCGAACCAGGTACATATGATTTCTGATGCTCTGGAAGTTATTAGACTGCATAAAAATAAAATATGAAAGATTTATATTACGGTCGGGGAAATGCAATCACACGCACAATCGCACTTGTTGTAAATAATGCACTTTTTCAAGGGGCTACGCCACTTGGAACGAATAGGTATACATGAAGTGCAGTGCGTTTAGTGATAGTACAGCATCTGCTCGTAAGAGTAGAAAAAGTCGAAGCATGAACTAACTTTTGACTCATAAAAATGCAAATTAAGGGAAGAAAATGAGATGAGGTTATCTCCCGTTAACATAAATAAAAAGTCCTAATATGAGATTCTTTCTGTGGGAAGTTTTACTGCTGTATTCATAATAAATTCATTGCGTCTTCTTGATTTGGTTTGACCAAGAGTGACATAAGGATTATAGGATCGCATTTCAAGTTAAGTAGTTTTGGAAGGTAAAGATAACACCTTAGCAGGCAGAAAAACTGTATTCGGTTGCGACTGAATTTTTATGCGCATTACCCTTCTATTGGAATAGAATATGCAAATATTTTTTATTGGAATTTTTGATCGACGAGCAAAATATCCACTTTCCGTTTTGGAAAACAGAAGTGTTCTCACTTTACGTTTACGTGCCTATTGCCGATTTTTCCCATCTTCAATATCAGTTTGTATGTAAGACCTTCTAGTGTTTTTGCAAAATTTGAAGCATAATTTTTGCGACGAGGAGAAGGTTTCCCAAAGACATTAAAAGGGTATGACAGACGGACAGACGAACAGACGGGCATGATTAGTTTCATCCTTCGATGGTAAGTATAAAAATTAAACTTTAATGTCATATCAAATGCTTTACATGGAGTATGGTCGAAAAAATAGACCTACGAGGTCCATATTTAGTATTGCTAATTTCCATGCCAACTTACTACTATGGACCAACTTTCATTAGAAAACTAGGCTTTTTAGCGAGATAAAGGCTTACTTTTCGGAGAAACGAGAGGGGCTCATAAATGTGCGCACTCCCAAATCTATAAAATCATAGAGAATACTATTATTTAGCTATTTTTGAGGAGAAATTTTGAAAATTGTAAATTTTTACTGATGAAAACTTGTTTTAAATGTGACATTACATGATGAGTATTTCTAAATATGGTCAGATCCAATCCATTTTCAATACGGATAGTCCTTAAGCGAAAACACGTTCAATTATTGACTTTACCAGCCAACGTGACTTTTAGGATGACCACTCGGACAGTAAAATAAGTTAACATAGGTTCAGACAATGATTAGGAAAGAAGACGGGTATGTCTTAACTCATTCTGAGTGCTGCCTATATTTTATTCTATTGCACCATAACAAATAGTACATCTTAACCAGGCTAAACCACTTACCGCATTGTGGTGGGATTACGTGGGCGCATTAGATACAGTGGACGGACCGATCGGTTCCGGTGACCCCACATCGGCGTCAATATTTTGGTATACTTTGTAGTTGTTTTTAATCCATTAACTGAAAGGTTGCATGATATATCATTATGCATTCTCTAATTTTAAAATTCAAAGTATGAAACGATGTCACTATCAAATAAACTAAAATGTTTCTTCAATACTTCTATAAGGCACAAAAACAAGCCTTAAAGTGAATAGAGTTTCCTGATCGGTAAACATTTTCCCGTTAGCGAAAATGAAGATATCGCTTACAAATTTGCAAAAAAAGAATTTGGAATTGACCTAAACTTTTCAAAGGACACGGCTACAGGGCCCACATGCCTATACGAAAAAACCCTGTATTTTCAAAATAAAAGAAATCAGATGCGCCCAGTTCATATTATAGAGCACAAAAATGTACTTTGTCTACTTTTTCTGTTTTTCTTTTTTAAGATCATGGGGCGATTCGGTCCCGATTGAATTTAATTTTCTCACTTTTCTTAATTTTCAAACCTTTTCAATTAAAAATTGTTCGTTTTATAAACCGCTTGAGAATTATTTTATTTAATGTTTAGCTTACAATTATTATTATATATTTTTTTTTTGTAATTTTTCTCATAAAACTTATGACAATCGTGCAAAAGAAGAAAATTGCAGTTATCTACTGAGTTCATTTAAATATCAAATGCCAACAATTACTAATTAAATGCTACAAAAATGGTAAAAATACTTATGAGGCACTTTTGTTTTAATGAAATTATTACTCATTTATTTACTTATTGGATTCGTCGTCTTGTGGAGTTATTGTTGGTCCGAGTGCTAAATACTCACATTGTTGTTCTGTATTAGTGTCGGAAGCTTTCTCTACTAAATCACCGGTTGGGCTGATCGTGATTGTCGGTATATTATCCGACCAATTGGAGATTTGGGAATCTGGACAGGTAGCTGAATACAAGGGGCTTTCATAAGTACGATTACGATTGGAATATACACTCTCACGATTTGTTAAAATGGGATTAAAAGTGTGCGGTTCCAAATCCTCTGGACTCTCTAAAGGAGCTCTGGCCATAAGATGAATTTCGTTAGTACTATTTGTTGCACTGGGCAAAGTCCTAATTGGCGTTACACTAATGACGGATTTATCAGGAAAATTTGTTCTCTTTAATCCCGGAGATGCAGGTATTTCAATGGCAGTTTCTGCTTGAGTTGGAATATTTTCGATTTTTTTGTTATTATTTACCGTTTCTCTTACTAAGGTTAGCAGAGATCCAAATCTTTTACGTCCCTGTCTTGAGAAATTGGCCAGCATATCGCTGCCATAATTTCTGTGATTATTTTGGGCGCACGCACTCGTAGTTTCAGTACGATTTTGACATATCTTGCCACGATGGAGCGGTTCCAGCATATTGGAAGACCTAAGTTGTTGAATTTTATCTGTCTCGAAATTGAAGATTTCCGGTTCTAAGGTTGGTTTGCTTTTGTTACGTTTAAATTTTAATTTATCGCCCAAGTTCATCAGTTGCCCTAAAGGGGGCGATGAGTTCTTTCCCTCATTTAGCGATGTTGGCTTTTCATCAACAATCTTATAGGATTCCTTTGATCCCATTTGATTACTTTGCCTTAAGAAAGAATTTGAATTTTGTTGTTGCTTTAAATTAGGAGCATCAACATTTAATATATTTTGGTCGTCATTGTTTGTTATCGTTAATACATTTTCTCTCATTTCGCTCATCATTTCATCATTTTGTTTAGTTTGCGCTCTGCTTGATGCGTTGTTATTGTTTAAAGAATTTTGTATTGTTGAAGAATCGTTTTCTCCTGTTCCCAAATTCTCTACTACCACCTCTTTTAATTCAATTGTCATTCCTTGCTTGCAGCTTAAACTGTTTTGTTTTTTTAGTCGCTCACTTGAACCTTGCTTCTCTTCCTCTCGGCGACGGCACATTAAACTTGCTCTTCTTTCATTTATTATTCTCATATTTAAATCGGGATCGTTAGTATTGTCTTGTATTGTTTGTTGTTTCGCCTTTTTTTCATATTTCTCTACATTGAATCTACTTTTTGGGTGGAGCTCTTTTGCTAAACCTCTTTCACGCTCCCGTTCAACACTTTTGGCAATTTGCACGATATCTACCAAAGAGGGTTTACGTGTTTTACGAATTTGCTGTAATTTATTAACAACAACAACAACAGCAGCATTAGCAGCAGGCTTATCCTTAGTTTCCTCATCGCGTGGCAGGGAGTCATGATGTTCGGTATCTGTATCGTCATCGTCCCGATACGGCTTTACAAAGGAATCTTCATCCGAAGTCGCAGATCCTTTGCGTAAAGCTTTTTTCATTATACGCGTAATTAATTCTTTAGGAGAATGAAAAATAAATGAAAAGGAAAACTCGAGCATAGGCAATATGATGATCGTAAATTTTTTTACCTTTACGTGCTTGAGATTTGTACTCTTCGCTTTCGAAATCTATCGGCTGTGTGGGAGTGAGGGGAGATGAGGCCTCCAAAACTTTCCGCCAACGGTTTGTTAAGTTAATCGTCGTTTGCTCAGCCGGTTTATTTTCCGTTACTTTGAAAATTTTCTTCCGTTCTTCTTCGCGTTCTTTTTGCAATTGAGTGCGTAAGTCTTGATTGGCTTCACGTAGGGCTCCCGTTAATGAGACCAAATAATAAATAATCAGAATGAGCAATAGCAGCAATGGTATCACAGTACTAGAGGAAGTCAAGTAATTTAATGGGTCATGAAGTTGTCTTAAATAAGATCAAAAATCAAAAAAATATATATATATATTAGTTTTCTATTTCGGCAATATATTCTTTCCCCATACTTACTTGGGTAAAGCAGTCCTGGTAGCATTTGTAATGAATTCCGATATACGATTATAGTCAGAGAATGGTCCACAATGCCATGATGGGCGTAGCCAAACAATAGCGTAACCTACCGGAAGCACGCACAGAAACAGCATTGTCAACAGCAGAGTCAGATAAAAATTATTCGATTTTGACGCCCTGTTTGAAAGGTAACATGAAATGATTTCAATTTGAGGACTACATTGCTTAATATATATTATATATGTCTCACTTGAATACAACTTCATGCGGTACATTACAAGTGAGAACAATCCACGAGCGGAAATACATCATAATAACCAGTTTGCCTAGATTGATAAGCACCAGGCCCGGTGAAAAGAATATACCCATCCATACTTGTCCTTGATTGTTAATTAAGGTCAAAATATTTTCAGCTATCTTGAAATCACCATACTACAGACAATAGGCGGTCGCATCGATGCCAGTGGTTCCAATTAATTCTTTTGGTACAAAGGCATATATTAAAACAACTTTTATTTACCTGAGGGAACGTTTTTTCCATATCCCAGCACCAATTGCGATTTACATAACGAACAAATAAAGCGCGCAGAAAATCAATGCACAGTGGCGCTACTATTGACATTAACTTTGAAAAAACAAAAACAACAAAAAAAGCACTTATAAATTCACAGGATTTCAAAAAGTACATGTAAAAAGTAAAGCTTAACTTCACTTAAAATTACGCGCTTTTCTTCTTCTATCGCACCAGCAGACGATGACGAAAGACACAGCGCAAAAAGATAAAAGTTAAACGATAAGAATGTAGATCGAGAGAACTTTGTTTCAAAGTTTAAATTTTTGTTTTTTTTTGCATTTTTGTATCTTTACTGAGGAAAATTAGTCTTTTCGTAAGCACAATTTTACGCTAGATATCTGTCTTGAAACTAGATATCGGCACTGAGCGTCTCTCTCTTTATTCTAGGCATCCACAGGTATTTTGTATCCGTAGTGACATCGCAACAGTGTTCGTTCGAATTTCTATGAGCTGCTGTAGCAAAATGTTTACCGAACGATTCGTTGCCTAATTCCTAACAGGTGACTTTAGTGTCTTCGATAACATTAGACTCTATTTAGACACACTACACAGCGCCTGTGATAGTTGAAATTTTTTTTTTTTATAATTGAAAAAAAACCACATTCCGATGTTTTTTAATGCAGTTAAAATGCTGAAGAATGGTAAAAATTCTGAAAAATTCGCTATCAAGGTGATGGTGCTACGTAGGCCTACGCAAAAATTACAAAGCTTAAGATGTGCCGCGCTGTGGTTCACTGATCGCAACCAGATAAATTCGATGAAATTTTTCAACAAATTGAGATAATCGTCAAAACAACTTTAAACATGCGAACATAAATATTGACCCAGAACTATTTGCTTGAGGTTGGGCAAGAAAAAGCAAGCGTAATATTTAGCTATCATATGTATTAACAATGGATGAAAAGAGAGGAAATTCAGGCATTTTCGAAGAGATGTTTAGCCCACAAAGAGGCTGTGCGACGTGAACGGCAAACTGTAAACGACTGTAAATTAAAGTGTTTGTTAAAAGCAATCTGCACAACTTTGATCTTTAAAATCGTTATCGGTCTTACTTTACATACTTCTATAGGCCATAAACCGACGAGTCTTTCAGTTGATTATAGGGACTGAATTTAATCTCGTCTTTGACTATTTCGAAACCTTTAAAGACATTTTGCATTTAAAATTGATTCACATTTCGCTATGAATGGAGCTATGACCTATGGAGTATGCAAATAGTTCTGTTCTTTAGGAATTAACATAATCCCTGACACGCTTGAAACTTTTCCAATTAATTTTTTCCATTTACTAAATATTTATTACATAAAAAAGTATATTTGATAGCGAAAAAGTTACATCTTTTGAGGTTTTGAGCATTAGTGCATAAAACGAAAAAAATGTTGAAGTTCATCATCTCAGTTTACATTATTTGTCCAGACGAATTGAAAGTTAATTCTTTTCTGGTTTACAGGAATCACAAGACGTACTTACTTACACACAAATCTATATATAATTCAAAACGTCATTACATTACGGGAAAAAAAGACTCTTTGTTGCTATTTTGGTATATACGAGCATTTATAACTCGATTCGATGTTTATTATTATTGTGTGTCTCACAAAAAAAAAAAAAAAAAAAAACAAAATAAATAAAAAGTACTCAGAGATATGAATAAGCAACTTTTTACATAAATTCATGCCATTATAGATAGTGGCGAGAAAGAGGAAAGCAAAAAGATGAACAAAGCCGACAAGTAGATAGATCGGTAACGAGGGTAAATATAGTAAAAGCAATAAAAGTTTACAACAATTTCAGAGTGTAAACACACTGGTTATCCTATCCTTTAGTCATATAATATAACTACAAAAATTTGCACAAATATATGAGAGAGAAAAGCAAAAAATCAAAAATGTGCATAAAAAAAAAAAATGACAAATAAATTTATTTCTTAAAGCATATGCAACAACGTAACTACATATATCAAAATTCCATTTATTCCTCTTTCGAAGCCATCAACAAGGCGGAAAGCCAAAAGTTGTTACGTGCTCGTGCGTAAATTAACATCACACTCTAAGCACTTGAAGAATAGTTAAAGTATTTCGATTAGAAATATTTTTTCCTTAATCACAGTTCTGCGCTTGCAGCTGCTGGTTGCTGCGCTATATGGATAAGTGAGAAAGAAGCTTTCTGGGTAAGTAGATGCTTAAGCGCGTATTTCATGTACATCTAATGCATCGAACGTAATGAGAGACTATGATAATTGGCCTAATAAAAGTGATGGTGAGGTATGCGAAATCATGTTTACATATTTAAGGGGGAATTAAGGCGCACGGTAGACGGTAGACGCTTACATATACGTGACTAACACTAACGTGTTTTGCACATTAAATTACGAAACATTATTTAGAAAAATATTTTATGTAACTATGCAGCTAATACGCAAAACGGAAGAGAATGAATAGCTCGAAAAAGACTTAAAACTTTTTATGTTTGAACACGTAGTCTAAGTTTCTCTCTCTCTCTCTCTCTCTCTCTCTCGCTCTTTGTCTTTACATTAATTATTACGGAATTAAGCCTTTAGAAGCATGAGAGCTTAAATTTGTCAAATTTTCTTTATAGTGAACAACAAGCAATAGAACGCTTACTGATTAAATGTTTAAGATTTACTTGTTTAAGATTTACTTGGTTCCCGACACCTATCGTGGACATTCAATTTTTCTTCAACATTTCGATCAGAGTGCTTCTCTACACTACATCCAAATTTTGTACTTCATCGGGTTCAGCCTTATCTAGCGAACCGCCATACGAAAGATTTTATTTAGTAGACTGCCAACCGAACCTTACAATGTAAAAGACGCACCTCACCGAGTCGTCTCATTATCCGCGTCGGACATTTTGTCTTGTGTTACCTCGCTGATCTTTTTTCATTGTAATTTGCCCCAATTGAGTTCGACATGTTCACCATATTCCCAGAAATAGCCGCGGCCGAAAAACTGTGAAGTGTCGCTAATTCAAATCTATCATCCCGGTCTACTGGCGATACATACTTTGATTTCTCTGCATTTCTGTAAACATTACTGTCTACGTAATTTGTTACGAATTTTTCGATTGGCCATCAACCATTCCGTTATCGTGGTGGTTATAAAGTGTCGTTAGAGCACGCGACGTTCGCGTGAATAAATGCGAGCTCAGTCGTAAACTGTGCTGTTAAACAACCAACCTTCCTCAGTTAAAGCGTTAAATGACACGGGAACGAATGCTATGACATAAAGTCAAAAACATGAAACATCGTTCGGAAACACGGCCAGCAAAATTTAGTTTTTTATGTTTCTAATCTTTCTAAACTAAGGTTTTATATGTAAACAAGGAAGAAAAAGCATGCAAATGTACCAAATTTAATTAAAGTATCTGGAAGATTGCCGCCCATAGCTTGCACGCTACAATGCCAGACGGACAGACGAGCAGAGAAGCTTAGATCGACTCAGAGAGTGATTCTCAATTGATCGATATAATCAAATGTGAGTACATCTCATGCCCTTCAGGTAGCTAATACAAACTCACACAGACTTAACACACGTCGATAGTATTACAATAGTGGTGAGTAAGGAAGTGGTTGGAATAGAGACGATACGGAGGCATCAGTGTATCGAAACATAAAACTTGTAAACTAAAACAGTGAATGAATTTTGCGGAGACGACAAAATCCTGCGAAAGATAAACCACACCCACAACAGAGGAAAACAAAGCTATGGTCATTTTGCAGTGAAAAGGCCTTACAATAATCACGGATGGAACACAATCTGAAAGTACTTGGCACACCATCTCATAAATCAAATTATTCGACATAAGAAGTGAGAATACATTATTTCATTTTTTCTCAATTGCCAACGAATACGATTATTGGTAGAAAAAGGCGCAAAGCTATTAAGCCTAGCGATAAATAACTGAAGCTAACTTTTCAATATGTAAAAAAATTCAATAAAAATAGGCAAGTAAGAAAGTTATATTCGGCTCTGACCGAATCTCTTATACCCGCACCAGCCACTTTTATCCTAAGGAAAACTATAGCAATCTGCGAGGGAGGACTTCCTATGTTTTTACGTAATTTAATGGTGATATCTTCATCTTTTCGGCCCGGGGAATGCTTACTACAGAGATTACAAAGACGGACAGGCGGACAGGCGGATTTAAATCAATTCAGAGTTTGATACTCTGAAGATCAAGAATATGTATGGGATCTTTGAAGTTTCCTTCTGGATATTGCAAACGTTTTGATAAAAAGATCAAAAAATACCGCCATTCTCCGGGGCTGAGTAGAGAGGAAAGCTATTACGATTACTATTAATATGAGTAGTAATTAATAAACACTCTTACTTTAAACGGCGGTAGCGACGGATGCTGGCAGCAGCAACAAAGCTTTGTTGTTGTAAAGTTTTCCATAATATTGTCAACATTTTCAATGAATAGTAAAATTCTTGCTGCGGAAACGTATCGTAAATTGAGGAATTCTTTAGCGTTTATTGGTAGGGCTAAACTCATTTAAAGTCCTACGTAATTCAATGAATATGCTTCTTCGATAGATAAGAAAAATGGTTGACACAAAATTCACCAAGCTAACGTTACGTCCGTTTCCTTTTTCAAGAAAAGCAACTACAACGACAATAACAGACAATAAAGTGACGTCGCCTTTAGTACGTGACAGCAGAAAACTTGTATTGAAATTCATAAGACAATCCAGGCAATGCGGACGAGAGTGGGAGAAAATGGGGCAAAAAAAAAAAAAAAAAAAAACGGCAAATAGACCGCAAAAATGCGAGACAGCTTAGCCTTTAATGTGTGTGATAGAGAAGGATTCTCTTCTCCCTATTTTGCGAATAATTTATTACAAAAATAAAGATTAAATTGGTTAGAGCGGAAATTTTAAATTTAAAGAAAAATTTCGTTAACTTATTATTACTATATAGATGCACACATACCCCGTCGAAAACAATAACTTTGGATAGCTCTTGGCCTAGCGAGGTTTCCCAACACATGCTGGTTAAATTTCTTTCAATTTCCTTAAAGGTTTTTTTTAACCGCGTTAAATTTTGATGATATTGCTGTATTAGCGTCAGTTGCGTAGTGGTGGTTGCTGCCGTCACCGTCGTCGTTTCCATTTCGGTAGTTGTTGAATATAAATCTCCAGGTACTTTAACGCATACTGTACGTATACATAAACCGAAATTCGCCTCATCAATTTCACTCCAGTCAAAGTAGTCAGTCTGGCCTCCAATGGCTACATCATCTTGTTCATCTATAAAATATGGTGTGGTGGACGACAATATTTCCGACACTACATTGTCATTTGTTAAATCGTCCTCCTGCTGGCTCGATTGTGGTTTACGTAATGGTGTGGTTAACAATGTAAGAATTCCCTGATGATGGCTACTGTTGGTTTCAGTCACGGTAGTGGTTGTCATTTTCGTAGTAGGAGCGGCGGTGCTTGCGCTGGTGTTGGTGGTGGTGTTGGTGTTGTTGACGATATTAGTTATATTATCAGTTAAGGTAGCTGTTGTGGCTATTGTGGTTGTATCATCGACATTATCGTTAACATTATCATGGAAGTTTTTGTATACCGCGGTTGTAAAGAATTCAGCCACTTTCTGCAAACGCTTATTGGATTCCCATAAATATTCATGTTTTGTTGTATGGTCAGTAGTTGACATATCAAGTGCGGTAGTGGACGATAACGTATTACCCCGATTTGCTAAATCTTTAATTATGATCAATGATATCGAAAAAAATAAATTACAATTATTTAACCAAAGCCTGCTATAAAATATATATGAACCTTTTTTAGAACATAAAATGTAAATATTGCAACACAACGAGCACTAAATATAAAATAAAAGAAACCTTTTCAATGAATTTCGTGAATGGAAAATCATTATTGTAATTGACTCGAAAAGCAGGGTCGCAAGATAACTGACTATTCTTGTTATTGCGCATTGCGTTTGCGTTCTTATCTCTTTCTCTCTCTTTACTCGAATTAAGGTTAGAATAAGTGAAATAATTTCCTTTGGTAATATTCCAGAAATTAACATCTCACAGCAAATCGTGAAAGTAGACGAAAGTGACAAAAATTAAATGCGAAAAATAAAGCGCGATTCTGGAGTCAAGAGTCCAGTTTGCCTACATGTGTGGGTAGGGAAAAGACACGCTAATAAAGGAATTTATTTAACACATGACACGTGTTTCACGAGATTTTCGCGAGTTAAGGATTAAAGAAGTCCCCTTCATATTTTGAAAATCGCATGGCATTCGATAATTCTGGAAACGATCGCTTCTCTTAGCTTTATATTCAATTTTACCTTGATTTTCTTCTTTCCTGCGTCGGCTATATTTCGATTTGTGTAAATTTTGCAGCGTTTGCACGGGCGCCTTGACATTTTGGAAATTATCTCGATTTTTGCTGAATTTGCTGAATGATAATTCTTTAGGCGGCTGAGTAGTCTTTAAGACCCCGTTTTCGAAGCTTTCATGAACCTTAGCTTGTTCTCGTGGAAGTTCTCTTTTAGTTTTATTAGCATAAACTGTCTGCTTGTCAGATGCTAGCGAGACATCATCTTCCTGGCCGTATGGTAAAGCAACCAAATAATCATAATAGTAGTCGAAGAATGTATCATTTACAGGGGATACTGTGGTCGTACTGGCTAACTGTGAAAATGTGGAAAATGAATCGTCATCATCTGTTGTGTATGAGGAGAAGTCCTCATATTCATAGGATGATAATGTATAGTCCGCGGTTGTGGTCTTCAGTAATGGGGTATAGTCGGTTGTGTTTAAAGGAATTAAGGTAGAAAATGGAGAATCTGGATTTATCATTGTCGTTGTTAAATTTAATAGTAATAGTGTTGTGGCTGCTGTTGTCGCTTTCGATGTGCTGGCGGTTGTTTTAACCTTCCAAGGCCTTGAGCATCTTACAGTTATATTATAACATTTCACTTTATTGATTGTTGTTAGCAAGGCAGCAGTTGTCGTACTTTCGAACGCTTCACTTGTACTATCAGTTGTTGTTGTCGTTGTTGTTGTTGTTGTCGTTGTTATCAAGGGACTATAAGTCGTTGTATAATCCTCAGTGTAATCTGTTAATTCGTTTGTATCTATTGTCGTTGTCGCGGAATCTAAAAGTTTCCAAAATTCTGTTAGGTCCGCTAATTCATTGGCTGCCGTATCATTTTTGATTTTTAAATCACTTAAAGGTGTCTCTTTGCTGTTGATTTTATAAATGAACGAGAACATAAGCGAATATAAGTTCAATAAATTCAAAATCATAATTCTGAAAATTAGACGAGACACATGAAAAAGCTTTTTTTCTTCAAGTAAGTAAGAAAATTATAGTGTTCTCAGTTACCTGGCCAATTGTAAGCGCAATTGCTGACGCGGATGCCAGTTCTCAAATAAACCCAAAGCTTCAAATATCATCGGCAGAAAAAATGACAATAAAGTCATCGTAACGTTAACCGCATTTCTACTCAACCAATTGTCGTGACGAGCTAATTCCTCCGATCTTATAAAAATAAAGGGATAACAAAAATTTCATTCTATTTACACTAATTAAATTTTAGATCAGCTTATCAAAAAAAAAAAAAAAAAGACTAATAGGTTTGATAAGGCTATCGAAAGCGTTTGAATATTCACTCATTACATTATTTCTTCAAATGTCTGATCTAACATCTAGTACAAGTCGAGTTCAGTTTCGTTACCCGGGCTAGTACTTGTGTTACCTGCATTTGAACTTAATGGCGGTCATAGGAAATATTGGCCAAAGGTCGTTTTGTAATTCATTGCAATGAGTATAATATTTTTAAAGTACTTGTAAGATATTTCGTAGAAGACATTTTTGTGTTTTTCATTTACATTCATTCACTTACTTGTTAACCAGAACTACGACAGTATAACCAGATGCTGCCAACAGTATCATCACTAATAGATTTACTAAAATTCTTTGCAAAATTATACGCCAGCTGTATAAACACAAGACACAGGCAATAAACGGACGTATTGTAGCATGAATGAAAGTAGATGAGAAGCAGAAGACAATAAATCAAAACAAAGCGTTTCCTTAAAATGATATACTGAACGCATAATAGATCATTTCAATATGCAACTTACTTGCGGTTATCCTTTTTCTTTTCGGCTTCTTCAAGCAGTGCTTCTTTGAAACCAACAACAACGGATGCAATTCTATTATGTGCTGTTTCTGCATGGCCTGTCATCCAATAATAAAATAACGATTGTGATATCAAGGCAACATAAAAATCGCTAAGTTGTAGTAATTATTTGGCAACTGAAACACACATACACGCACAACAACACACACACACATATACATAAAAAGTAAGACCAATTTTTAAATCTTCAAAGTAATCCTCAAATGCAAATGATATTCCTTGCTTAACAGTTTGGCCTCGCACAAGGCATTCATTGTGCACAACACCACGATAAGTGAAAGAAACTCTCAGCATCCTCTTGATTTTTGGGCGACTTTGGCGAGGGTTTTCCAGTCTTGGATCTGCTTTTACATCATATTCGCTCCATTGATCGGTTGTCTACGGTTTGTATGCGTAGATGTAAGCCTCACGCAAAATTTAATGCAACGCCTTTTCTACTGAAGATGAGATGCTCAACAGATGCGCTAGCTGAGCAAGAATTTTTTCTCTTTGGCCTTCACTGAAACTTGGTTAAAGCATGATTTACACTCGTCGGAACTTTTTCACAATTCTCTCTAGGTTTTCAGAAAGGATCGATTGGATTGCATTGGTGATGCTGTTTTAATTGCCATGCCTGCTGCAGTCCCGTCCTATTCAATTGAATTTCCTACTCTTCCCGAGGTTGAATTTACCGCCATTCGGGCGAAAGTTGCCAATAAACAGGTATACGTAACTTGCTTCCATATCCCCCTAAATGCGTACATCACTATTTATAAGAAACATGCTGGCCCCATTTGTGATGTGGCTGAAAAGTCTATATCTAATGATATAGTCATAGCGTTGGTAGCCTTCAATTCGCCACAATTTACTTGACGTTATAGTGATAATTCGGACCGTACGGTTCCCACTTCAACATCTGACAGAGCTATTATGCTTTTCAATGAATTATTTGATCGTAATTTACTTCAGTAGAACCGTGCTAAAGCACTGTCCACCTTTTAGTTAACGTGAGTATCCGTATCATCCAGCAATTTGTATTTTCTTTTATTGCAGAGATGAGGGTTCCTTGAAATACCCTCGAACCAGATTCTTGCCATGGTTTAGCAAGACAGTTAAATATTACAAAAATAGGAAAAATAAACTTTTCAAAAAATTTATGTAAAATGGTTCTGGTTACTACTATGCTGCTATTTGCTTATTCTGCGTCAAGGCATAAATTTAGTTATCTCTACCACTTTCAGTTGCTTGTCAATCCTAGGTATTTTTTCAAGTTTGTCAACTCCAAAATAAAAATCTCTCGCATCTCGCATCTCGCATATTTCTTTCCATGGCTCTGAGTCCTGATATGATAATATTGAAACCTCGAAACTCTCGAATACTTTCGAAGAAATTGTTGAGCGGCTAATTCCGACTTAACTGTCAACTATCCGTATCCGACAGTTTGCTCGAAAGTGATGTTTTGGAGGGTTTAAGGTCGCTAAAATATATATCTGCGCCCAGATCCCATCATGTACACTTAAAACATGCTCTCTGGAGCTATGTGGTATTATTTCAATGAATTTTAATCAGTCCTTGAAAACCCTTTTTTTTCCCTTTCTGTTGGAGGAGTAGTTTCCTTATTCCAATTCACAAATGTGAAAATAGAAATCACGTTGAGAACTCTAGGGGCATAGTCAAGTTGTGTGTCTTACTCAAATGCTTTGAGCGAATTGGTAGTCAGCATATAGTTTTTGCTATTAAATCTTATATTTCTCCATTCCAGCATGGTTTTCGGAAACTAAGATCTACTGTCACGGATCTCTTACAGTTTACTTGCCACGTTTCCAAAGCTTTTTCTAGTGGCTCTCGCACGGATGTCGTATATACTTAATTTAGCAAAGCATTTGACTTAGTTAACCATAATTTATTGATCTTCAAACTCCAGGCTTCTGGTTTTCCTTTTTACTTAGTGAAATGAATTAGCTCGTATCGGCATAACAGATCATTCACGGTTATGTTTAACGTTATCATCTCGGATAAATTTCCCCCGACGTCTGGCAACTCTCAAGGCAGCCACTTAGGAACCCTTTCATTTAATTTATACTTTAATGATCTCCTCCCGGTGTTTGAATCCAGTCAGATTTTAATGTACGCTGACGACGTTAAACTGTTCTCTTCTTTCTCCTTGGAATCGCAATCGTAACAACTTCAAACTAACTTAAGTAATTTGGTAACATGTGCTCGAACGTGGTCGTTAAATTTCATGAAATTAAATCTAAAAAAATGCAAGAACCTTTCTTTCTTAAGAAGAAATTCATTCAATACTGAGTTTTTCATTGATTGATACAAGTTGGAAAACGTTGATGCGTTCATCGATTTAGAGGTACCATTCGACAAAAGATTACATTTTAAGTTGCACATTGCGCTCTCTTTGAGTAAAGCTTGGTAAGCGCTTGAGTTCATTAAGAGGCGGTCCAAACAGCTGAAGGATCCTTACATTAGAAAAAAACTATAAATGTGCTTAGTTAGACCCATACTTGAGTGTGCCTCGGTTGTGTGGTCTGCCTCCTATAGATGTTATGTAGATTCAATTAAATCAGTTCAAAAGCAATTCTTGCTGTTTGTCCTTAGGAATTTGGGTTGCGACCCGATTGCCTCTCTTCCACCTTGTGAAAATAGATTGCTTCTATTATCCTTACCGTCGCTTGAGAAACGTAGGTTTATTTTTGATGTCTCCTTCTTAATTAAATTAATTAATGGTTCTATCGATTAGTCCATAGTACTTGATGTGATAAGCTTTACTGTCCCTAACCGTGATTTGGCAGGATTAAACTCTTTAAATTCATCGCTTCGTTGCTGAAAGATGTGATTTGTGTGATGAAATACTCCTATTGCGTCGTTGTGATTGCCGCTCGGAACAGCTATCCAAACAACGTGACATTCATCCACTTGAGATTCATATAACATCCTGTGCATATCAAGCACATATTGATTATCTGCATGTGCATCTCTTTTATTTATTAAAAGCGTAGTTGATTGCTATCAGAAAAACGACAACAAACGATAATTTTTTTATGACCATTCGTGACAGCTACCTTTACAACATGCCTGATGACAAGCAATTCAATGGAAGTCGTGAGAGAGTTCTGCCATGACTCTGACCATATGTGCTGTTTTAGACAAATACTTACTTCACTGTCGAATCATCAGTGGTCCTCACACAAGAAATATTGACAATTCAGGGATGTTCATGAAGACTCTACGTTTATTGGTAACGAAATTTCAGAGAGGCATTACACTTATCTTATGAAAAATATGACGGAGTTTTTGATAACAAAATGGATACCAGCATGAGACAATATCACTGAGAGATATAACTATCTGGAATAGGGAAGGATTGATTGAATTAACCTTAATTACTTTCTTAGCTTTCACTAGAAATTACATTGAGTAAAAGTGTTTGCATATTTTGGGAAAACTCCAAGAACTAGTATGTGTACACTCGATCTTAGACAGGATTAATGCTTTGTACACTGTCAGAGGTTTTTTGGGTAGCAATTCTGACCGATTGTCAGACATGGGTTTGATGATATTGCATCCAGTTTGTATATCGAATCTTTCCGTATAGGATCTTGATATATATGCTTTGAGATTCCTTTGCTTAAAGTCATTATTTTTAATGAAAGAGTTGGCATGGAGGGCAGGCTTTGCCTTTGCTAATCGTTTTAAGCTCTCTCTGAAAGCTTTTAAGGTATTTAAGGTATGAGGTACGGCCATCTTCGATCTCTTATTGTTTCCAGTAATAGTCAAATAATTATTTTCAAAGGCATTTTCATCTGCAATAACGGGAGAAGATCCTGTTTCCATTGGGAAACAAATTGATATTGTTTTAGCTGTTATGGATAGTAGCACGGAGAACATTTACTAAAAATCAAAAAGTAAAAAAAACGAAAACCATTTATTTATATATATACATATATTATACATATATGTATACATTTTTCCTTTTAAAGGAGCTTAACAGATTGTAAATGAAAACAATAGTAAGATTTTTCACTTGAAAGTGAAATCATTAGAGATTTTTTAATTTTAGTCTATTTGCCTTTAAATTGAAAGAAAGAAATCACTTCACTAACACAAAACCGACACATCGGAGAAACTTTCATTTGCCGTTTGCTTAAAAATGTAGTGTTCGCTTCGAGTGTTGGTTGTTGATTTTGAAATGCAACTTCTTTACTCACAACAAAATCACGCATTGTAACAATTGAAAAAAAAAAACTTTTTGTGTCTTGCAAACCCATGCGTAGCTGAAACACTAATGATGTTTGTGATATGAAATTTGACACAGATATTTATCACAGTGCTATCTATATAGCACTATATATATATATATATTTCTGATATTCGATATACCTGCGCAGTTTAACTTAATTATTGGTCTCACTTTTTTTGCCCAGCGTATGTTTATATATGTAAACATGTATATTAGTTACACTTACCAATCATGAAATCCCAACCAGTAAACAGTTTCCATGAGAAAGTACACTCGTCGTCTTTAGATGATAGCTTCGAATTGCGTGAATTTTCTGCCATTCTTAAGAAATTAAAAATATAGAAAAGTAGACGAAAAAAATTATATGCAATGAACTCGCCAGAGATCCTAACCTAAATTGATAAGAAAAAGCTCTATAAACAAATCACAGTCGATTGTTATTCTCCTTCTCTTTTATTTTCTTTTGCTTTACTTACATAAACAAGAGTTCGAGAATTCGTTGGGGAAAAGTTTCTGAAAAAAATAAAAAACTATTGCAAACGTCGGCCTAGGTCAACAGTTAAATGCGTGTCATCAGTTTTCTTGCTATAAAATACTAACAATTGAATATGTTTGCCCCGTGAAAGGTTACCTAATTTGTGAGAGGCTTTATTTATATAAAGGGATGTGGCTGAGAAATAGGGTACATGTGGTCCAAATTTATATATCGAACCGTCATTTTGGATTAACTTTTATTAAATAAAGGCCTATTTTTTTGTAAGAAGGTGCTTAGGAGAGGGAGAGGATTCGAAAAATGATCCCTTCCAACGCAAATTTTCTAGAAATATTCAAAATTTCACAATGTCACTATAAAAAGTGATCCGGTTCAATCGACATGCAATATGATTCCGGATTCTTAGAAAGTTGATCAAACCACGTAGATTGAACGCGATAATCAATATAGACAGACACCAGGCAAGCATCAAAAGCTAAAATTTTAATTGCGTCACAAGCGTTGTGAGGCGTAAAACTGCTTTAAAATAATATCAAAGGAAATGGACTCAATAAATAAATTGGCAGGAAAGCTTTCGGAACGCAATAGGAACGGTTCTTATGGTTTCATGGATGAGAAAATAAATTCTGGGCATTTCGAACGGGAGAAAGACGTTTACGAATGATGTCGCCATGGAATATATATTGACGCAATGGAAAATATTTTCAGTTACCCAATAGATTGGACTAACGCTTAATTTCTCACTCTAGAGTCGACCGATCTAAAAGGCAAACACTTTTCGAAGCATTTGAAATTAACCAACGTTGTGGCTATCCCCGAACTTTGTAGTCGTCAGAGAGAATACGCAAAGTTTTCGCAATTAGAAATTTGCGTACTGAACGCTCCCACTTTCGGCTACGTCTTCGTATGTAAAGTGAAGCGTTTCCCATGCTTGAGGTATGCAAGTTTCATCAAAAAGTAATAAGACGGAAATTTTCAATTGCCACGGTGTGGATACGACAACTTTAGGGTTTCACACAAAGATAATGCATTTTCTGAGACTATACGCGTTCTTGGAGACTTCTTTATTGGAAATTCACCTCAAATGGTTAGATAACTACCATAATTGTTTGCTATCGAGTACTTGCGAAACTCAAGAAATCTTATCTGCCTTAACTGAATAACGACGAATAGGGGATACATTTCACTTCGGTATGGAGATGTAATGGACAACTTGAACTCTTAACGCACAATTTGTTTATTATATAAATATTATTATGCAATGTTAAAAACAAAGCTTGTTTCCGTTTAAGCTTGACAAGAAAGTAATAAAAATAAAAAGTTTTTCAAGACGATACTTAATAGAAAACGAAATAAACGCAAACATTTTCTCAAAAAGAGAGAGAAAAAGATTGATTTTTATTGTTTATGGTATCGTTATTGTAACTTTGTTTATTTAATGTTTCACATTTGAGATTCATTTTTTCATAGCAATTATCATTAAAAAGATACTTCAGTTATACTCGTCGTGTATTCTTCATATCCTTCGTTAAGTCTATTTACTAGCGTCTTCATTGTGTTCAACATTAAACATTTCTTGAATCTTTAATAGCTGACAATCTGCGTATACACGAGCCGAGTTTATCTCGTATTTTATATAATTTCTCTTCTTCACGCTTTCCTTCCCATCCTAAGCCTTATCAATGCCAACAAGTGTATAACTGTCAATGGAATCTCATAGATTTTCGTACGTGCTCAGCATAAATATAATAAAATTGCACCTTGCTGTGCTTTTAGCTTTAGCGTTATGCTTTTCAACAAAATCCGTCTCTAGGGTGTACTTTATTTATTAAAAAGTTAACTGTTTTTTCTTTCATTCCTTGGGTTGCTCTGTCTTGCGCACGCGGTTCATGCGGTAAATGTAAAATATATGTTCACGCTAGGTATACACTTTATAAAGGAGCTCTTAATCAAATTTGTTTTCAATAAACTGATCTATTTCACGATTGCGGTAATAGAAAAGATCAGTTATAATAATCACTGTTACCACAGTCCCATATGTACGACATTATGTATAGTTACGTGAATGATGCGCGAACATTTTGAACAGTAGAAGTCGATTCTACACTTTTTAAAAGATAAACGGATAAACGTTGTTTAAGGGTATCGAACGAGCTGAAGAGACGTCGCGACTTAACCTCAAAAAGAAGCGAAAGAATGTATTCTGTATTCTGTATATTAGATCACGACACATATGCGGGAGGCGCAAGTAAATGTCAAGAGAGTTGGGAAATCATTGCCTTATATATTAAATATTTTCATGTTATATATACAAACATGTATTGTATATTGTATATTGTATATTATATACGATATAATATATTATATTATTATATTATATATGATATATTTGTGCAAAACCATTATTAAATCATGGACCACCAAACTAAAATAGAAAGAGGAATAAAATTTCGAAATAATCGTTCGATTTGTCCATAAATGTTCTACGGTCTCCTCCATTGGAGGACATTCGACGAAAGATTTTTCAAACTTTCAAAACATGCTCGGCCCATAAGTATTTGTCATTTTGTTTCCAGATTAGTTCAGAAAATAACCAGAAATATCCTTCTACATGGTATGTAGTGTATATTAAATCTAGGAAATAATGTTAATCAAAAGATCTGTCCGTGATTTTTCAATTTAATAGCTATGGCTCTACATGAAAGACAGCGCCTAGGATATTTTACCATGACTCGACTGGAATGTTTTTTCCTCTTTTGTCTATTCACTAAGCATCACTACATTACTGATTTAGGTCTATTTCAACCGTTCACTTTATGGTTTGTCTGAGTGGCGATTTCATTTCTATGACAATGCCCAAGAACAGTTGTACTTTGGGCCCTGAACTCGTATACCGTTAGAAAGATAAGAAGAATGCTGCCAATGGACAATAATCGATTTTTTCACAAAAAAAAAAAAAAAAAAAAAAAAAAAAAAACGGTCAAGATTAATTTTCGCTCTGCGTATGGCGACAAAGTTAGTTCACGGGCAGGGATTTACATAATGTATTGAAACTATTCATGATTTAAGGATATCGTGAGTGCAAATCGTTCGTTCGGATATAAAAAGAAAAATTTTATATTATTGATGGCTTCTTCGATTTATACTCACTTTCTTAACGTGGCCACAAAACTGTAAATATAAACCGCTACCGCTGTAAGAAAATAAGCTAATGGCAATTTATATCCTAAAGAGCTCGCTCCCGAATAATTTGAATAATACCTAGAAGAAAATAAGTTTTAAAACAGTGTTTTAATAATTCATGTTAAACAAGCAAGCAATAAAGCGATATTTGCCGGTATGTGAATGCCTAACAACAAGAACAACAATTTAGAATTTGACCTTAAGTTCTGAGGCTAAAAACGTATGTGTCTTGTTTCCAGTGGCAATTTTCTATTCGAATTTTTGCAAGCGCGCAGTGATTGCAGAAATATGTAAAGGGCGGTAGAGTTTCAGTTATTATCCTTAATTCTTGCGGCTGGACACATTTTAATAACAGACAACGGATAGATGAATATCTAATCATAGTTGAACAAATATGAATATATTTTATGGGACTTGTAACAGATATTTGCAGATAGGCGTTACACGTGAAAGTGTAAATTTAATATACGCTCATCTTTGGATGACGATGCTCTAATCGTACGTAATACCATTGAGTATTGAATTTGAAATTGAAATCATCTTTTGAAAGTGATTACAATATAGAAATTGATACGTTACGGTCGATATACCATAAGCAGTACATCATCGTCAGATATAGAAAAATAAATAAAGGTAGAAGTGCGTAATTATTAACTTAGAAGGCTTGCACCGATCTGTAAGCCTTCTTCGGTCGAATTCTATTATTGTTTACTTTTTAAATTAATTATGATTTACCCGTAAAATAGCGGTGAATACTTGAGGTAACCCTCAAATTCCCAGATTGTAAATAAATTTCCTGCTACGTAGTTTTCATCGTCCGTCATTTTTTTGCGTGGATCCACTTCATCGTGCTTAGTGGCAAAATACTGTAATAATTTATTTAGTTGTTATTTTTTCATTTTTATTTTCATTTTCACTTATATTACATTATACTTTACGGTTGTGTACAAACCTCTGGTCCAATGACGAATGCAACCAATGGTAAAGCAATTATAACATTCACCCACATCAACCAACGTAAAAATGTAAAATATGATGCTACACCTGAACCGAAATGTGATTCAATCTCTTTGATGCGTAATTCCCATGGTATGAGCACAGTAAGAAAGCTGGCTGTTTCACGTTTCCAATGACGCCAACGCTATTCACGAAAAAATTTCAATGAAAATAATGTTAAGTAATATTTTTTCTTTCCTCTCCGCTTTGTCATTGTGGCTATGTTCTCGTGAATGAGAAGACGCCTACTGATTATTTCTTACAGTTGAGATGTTTAAATCGTTTTTAAGAAGAAAAAGCAAAGAAAGCAGATAAGAGAATTAAATACAGTCGGGACCGAACCTTTTCTATCCATCACCGTTTACTTCCCAAAAAAAAGATAAAAGAAACAAAAGAAGAAAATTATCATGGTCTGTAATGTGAAGTGGGTGCAGTTGATTTCTTCTGGTTTCAAAACAAAACTTTTTATTGTAGAGGTATATGGGCGTTGTTCCAAACTCCTTTGCAAATTTATAGGCGATATGTTCATTTTCGCTAATGCGAGAATGTTTACCATAATAGACGAATAGACGGAGATGTTCGGATGTATTCCAAATTTGAAACTGGCCAAGAATTTATATATACTTTATAGGATTTTTGAATCTTGTTTCTGCATGTTATGAAGATATTGAAAAGAAAGTAAGACTTTTATGCCTTATAACATTTGGTAGGCCAGGCTGATTTTTTCCATTTTTGTATGCAAATGCTACAGCACTGCCCATAGAATGTGCGTTCAAATTTTTGTACACTTATTTGCTATAATTTAAAAGTAATGAGCAAAAAAAACAATTTCTCATTCTCCTGGAAGAAAAGTGGTATTCTCAGTTTATGTGATGCTGCTTGCGTGTTCTTCTACCGATTTGGTCCATTTTCAATATCAACCTTTGTTCAAGAACTTTCAATGTTTCTGCCAAATTTGAAGTCAATAATTTCATTTTTGGCGGACAGTCGGACAGACGAACACGGTTGAATCGATTTAGAATTTGATGCTGACCAAGAATATGTACACTTTATGAGATCTCTTATGCTTCTTTCTGGGCGTTACAAACGTTTTGACAAAATGAATATACCTCTCATGCTTCGGTGATAGGTATAAAAGCACATGGAAAACAATTCCCTTAAATTGAACGCGACTATAATATCATATATATATATACCCTTGGAGTCCTTGGAATGCAGTATTTCTAAAAAATGTGAGCATCTTTTAAACAAATAAGAAAAAAAAATTACAATCGCCTTAAAAAGGTCTTAGATAATTTCAATATTTCGTAATCCATTGATATAGTATGTAGTTCCTTATGATTGGATGTACGTATGCCGAGTAAGGCTTAAGACAAGTACAATGTTCTTGCTTGCGATGCTTGCTGCGCAATTTGAGCCTCTTTTGACTCTAGTGAAAACTATGGAAAGATACTGACTAAGAGGGATTGAAACTTGAATCAAACATGTCAAATTGTTTTCTTTCTTTCCTTTTTGTGAAAAAAAGGAGGTTTTTTTTTCTTCCTGACTAAGTATCGAGTGTAGCGAAGTATTGCGATCAAAGCTATTTAAAAGACAAATTGATTTTTAAGTGCATCAGCGAAAAGTTTTCTTAAAAGTAAAAATCACCAACCAACACACTTCAGCAGACAAGCAAGTATTTGAAGAAATAAGTGAGAGTTTACAAGAAAAAAAAAAAAAAAAAAAAAAAAGAAAAGAGAAGAGAAGAGAAGAAAAAAGAAGCAAAACAAAGTTAAACAAAACAAAAATGCGCAAACAACGTGAGAAGTTTTCCAAACAAAGCTAAACTGCTTACACGGCCTTTCGACGCCATAAAATGGCAAATTACGGAAGTGGCATACTTACGGCTGCCATTAAAATCTTGAAGCGCGCCCACAAATCTCTTGTACTGCGTGACATAGCAAAACGTTCCTGCAATGCACCCTCATGACGTGCTACGTACGTTTTTGCCTAAGACAAGAAGTAAACAAAATTAGCCGATTGGTAATTATTTAGTGTTTAGTGTTTACAGAGTAAAGTGAAAATTCACGTCATTTCACTTTTGCTATGTATGTTCGTTCGATTTTCGTTTTTATATCATTTTTTCAAGCTTTCACAACGACTTACCTGCCGGACAAGTTTTAGTTTTTTGCGTATAGGCCACGGTTGCAATTTAACTGATTGTATTACCTCCTTATGTAAACGTATATTCTCGAATATTTGCTCTTGTGTGGACTCTTGATTTGTGCCTTCTTCTAATAAATATAGTAAAACGGAAAGTTAACGGATACGTTGTGACTTGATATACGTTTACCTGAACTTGTGGTATAAACACTTGAGCGTCTATGCTCAACATGATCGACCACGTGGTCCATTGGACTCGATGTTCGCCTGTTAGCGCGTCGATTAGTTTTTTTTCGATATCCTCGTACACTGGCACGACGTTGCATTATTGCCGATACCGACAACGAGTAATCTTCATCATCATCATCGCCATCATCGTCATCATTTTTATTATCGAGATCGTTCTCGTCATTGTTAATACTACTAAAACCGGGACTGCAATCGTCTGTCGAATAAAAAAGAAAGAAGAAGTTATTATCCCAGCTTCCGGCCACTCCCTAATTGCTATCTCTCTTTCACTCTCCACAGTTGTTTGTGATCATCACCGTATTATCTATATAGAGGATATCCTCTCACTGATTTTTCATATAAAAATAAATACTTAGATATATAAAAATCTATACTGAATGATAAGTTTTACTATATTTATAAAGGGGTTTGGGATATTTTTGGTTCACGATTTACATACTCGTTTTTAATATAAATCTTGCTTTGAAGACGAATGATTCATTTTTACGGCCAGGAGAATGTTTACTCCAGACGGACAGAAGGAAATATTTAAATCGATTTGGAATTTGATAATGCTTCCTTCTGCTTATTGCAAACGTTTTGACAAAATGAATATACCTCTCATGCTTCGATGACGGTTACAATAATGATGCGTTGTTTTGTTAACATTAACCCCTGCTTTGCTTACTGCAAATTGATGAGATGGGCTTGAGTGGTTAAACTTGGTCTAATTCCTTGTGTTTTTTTTTTTTTTTAATAATGTGAACACACATAACTAACGTTTAGTCATTAACTACGATTTTCTCATCGCCCGTACAAATCGTTGAATGGAAATTTATATGGAGAAAATTGAGCTCATTCAAAACGGTACATTTTGCACGCTTAAATCAATTAATGAAAATGTCACAAGCAATGGAAACCAGTATGTCATTGCATATTCTAGCCTCGACTTCCCTCTTAAATGATCATATTTGTTTTGATGTTATACCTGTTTCGTAGCAATATAGTCCTGACTGTAAAAACCTGTTTCAAATACATTATTATATAGATTATTATATATATAAAAGTCTTATACGTCTTCTTCGAGTACTATCACTAATACGGATTGGAAGCTTCCTTTCGAAGCCCACATTCTTTTTTTTAGCTTAGATTATATAGTAAACAAACAAGAAAGTTACGTTCGCCTGAGACGGAATTTTTGATAATCATTATCCCCATGAAGCGAATGATTGCGCTTAGCTAAATGACATACATTACTTTACAAAGTAATAACAAAATTTGATCTCCTTCATTGTCGACTACGCTTGTTCTTTTTAGTCAAGTGCGTTTTATTATGCCAAATATCAATAAAAGTAAATAAGTGGATTTGTGACATACATTATATAATAACATCTTGAATTTCCTTCGCGCTAAAAAGAGGTCAAGACCAAAGGGGGCTCGGCATTTGCCTATTTGATTGCCGTTTGCGAATGATTTGCATCACGTAAATGCCCATATTTCCAATATATTGCTTGAGGGTTCTTTTCTACTTTTACGGCCCTTAGTTAATTCCTTAATGAAATGCCATAAAAAAGTAGAGGAAAATTTTTTGTTCTGTATATATATATATATATTATTATCCGTAGATTAGCAGCCTAGAGTAAATCTAAAATGGCAAACTATAATTCGAGGACAACTATAACAAATTATGCAAGTTCTTAGACAGTTTCAAATTTGGAATGCACGTAATCATGTCCGTCCATTCATGTGCCCATCTGTCCGTTTGCAACAGAATTTGAAAACGACTCAAAACTTTTCAAAGAACACATGTCTATGTAAGAAAAACTGAGAACACCTTTGTCCTCCGTGTTTTTTGCTTATTGCGGTATCAGTTTCCGCTTTTATTCTAAAAATGGAAAGAAATCAACCGCGTTCAACCAAAATTATTGAGTATGGAAATTTGGTAGTTTTTTTTTTTTTTTTTTTTTTTGGATCACGACGATGGGTAGGTGGTATAACAGATTCGATCAACATCGAATATAATTTTCTTACATACTTTGAATTATTTTTGTCGATTTCCATTAAGAAGGACAATTTCCGTTAATTTGTTGTCAAATCGGGCATTGCCAGCAATTTTAATATTTATGTTAAGATGTGTACATAACGAAAGTCCATTGAACAATACCTGCAATCCTGTACTATTGTAAAAGTACTTGAAGTAAATATTATTTCGTTCATTATTCCTTGTGCCCCTTATCTCTTTTTGTTTATTTATTTATCGTTCATTAATTTACTTTCATTTACTTAAACTTGGTTTTCTTTCATTTTTAAAATGTAATTAGTATTATATCGCTTATAAAATATTTATAATTATATGCATGTGTTTGTAAACGTCTATTATCCTTTACAGTATTGACAAACCAATGTAAGTGCTTTTTTCCTTTCTACGATTTTTGTTCTCTCAACTTTGTTTTAATTAAATTTACATAACAATTTCTCGCTCATTAATATCAATGATATTTACATAAGAACTCACCTGTTTGGCTTACTAATACCGGACTTGAACTTGGACGATTGTCATCAGCATAATGCAATAAAAAATCATGTGATTTCTCTTCTAAAAAACTGTATTGCAAAGAAAGATTACAAATAAAGAGAGAGAGAGAAAGAGAGAAAGAGAGGGAGAGAGATTAATTTTACATGTATTTAATTCTTGAATTTATATTCAATATGTGTTGTAAAAAAAAAGTATAGCATTTAAATGGCAACACCACTGTAAATAATCTATGAAAGAATTTTTTTTTTTTTTTGTGTTTATAGGCGCCTCAAACTCTTTAGAATATGTGAACAAATATTCATTAACTAGAAGAAATTTTGAACTGTTCAAGACTTTCTGGATTAAATGAATTTCAGTCCTAAGGTTGCAACTTAATGTGTTCACTGCTGATTTCTAGCTACTTTGAATTACTAACAGATGCCTTTCGAAAAGTATTTACGTTCATTTGAGAGAATTTCCAAACTAAAATATTGTGCGGCGGAAATAGAAAGTTTAAAATGAACTTTTCGGAGTTAATTATGAACACGATTGGAGGATTATAAATTTTCTTGTTGTTTCACCTGCCATTTCGTAAGACGTAAAGTGTTTGACATTCGACTCTTTCTTTGATAGTTATAACAAACTTAAACTACAATTTCTAGTTAAAAAATTTCAAGAAAGGAGATTCAAAAAGAATATTTGAATGTGTAAGGGCATTTTTATGGTCATGGGATTGTAAACTAATTGAAAAGATAAACAAGTGAAAGCATTATAATGGTCCACGGCCCACCATTGAAGATGTACATAGATGCAACAGCCATTGCTCACATAGCGACTGCTTCAAGTAGAATGTTATATAGGAAATGGCCGAAGAAGTCATCAGATCAGAACTAATTTTAAAAGCGTTCATTCTTGAGTCAAAACACGGTAGTCAAGCAAATTTCACAAAAATATCTGGCGTGTGGAGTATGCACAAAGAAACAATATGGACAGACGGACAGACAAGCCTAGATCGATTCCGAATCACTTTCGTTCTTTCAATATAATGAAAGGTGAGCCTTTCTCGGTTTTTTTAAATCCGCACAAATTTAATATAGCTTTGTACCACCACAAGTGGCGTAGCCTAATACAGAGATTGTAGTACAATAAACTAACATGTCTACGACACATTTCAAAACTTCAAACGCGTCTATCTCGAATGCCGATTTTTCAAAACATACAGCAAATAGCATAGTTTCAACAATTTTCATTTTTCGTTCATTCTTTAAAATGATATTCTTAAGAGAAGTACGTAATATATTTTGATAACTTAATTTAAGCATTTTGCATTATAAAGATTTTTTTTTTTTTTTTTTTTAGTGGAAGATTGATCACCAGGTATTTCTCTAGTAAGAGGTACGTTTTTGTTGTTCTTTTATTTATTTATTTTTTTTTTTTTTGACTTAAATATGTATCAGGCACCTACATGGCTTGCCTTAAAGTCTTTTAAATTAAAAATACCTCGCGAAATTTGCTCCGACGTTGCTATTATTTAATATTTTTTAAAAGAAATTTTGTTATTTTAATCATTGAATATATGCTTAATAACCTACTGGAATGCTATTGTTCTACCAACTGTCCTCCTAGTCTAAAAAAAATTGTTAAAAATACGTTGTTACGTGATAGGCTGTTACAGTGGTGTCACTCCTTAAATTATAAACCATCTTACCTTTTATCTATTGTCTCATCTATTTCATATGCTTCAGTTGGGTCGGTTAATGACTTGGAATATTTTTTTTCCGATTCATCTATATCGCATGGTGGTATCGCCCACGTAACTGATAACTGTTGAGGTGAGGATGCGGTCGTCTCAGCTGTATTTATATTGCTCTGTTTCAAATAAATGAAATTGTTTTTCTTTTAATTACGTTACGAAAAATTCGTTCAATCATATTGAAGCAGGGAATAGATTTGTGGTATTGTTTCACCAATATATATTTTTGTCATATTTAAAACGATTGTTAATAAATAATATGTGTGTAGTGGGATGGGTCAAAGTATGGGTCTCCTCAATTCTCGTAGTGACGAAAAAGACAAAGGCTTTCCTCTTGATCTGAACTCTGAACGGTTTGCATTAACTGATCGCCTTAACTGCCGCTAATGGTGCACGATTTCCGCCTGATCTCGCAAAACGCAAAACATCACATTATCTCACGGTCTTCATCCATTTATTTAAATTTATCTATATATCATCCCGATCTATTTCATATATTATTTTCGTATCCGGTCTGCTTTCCATTATCTTAGCTTATCTTCAAAGATGGGCCGATTTGGATTCGCCTTAGCAATGAATTGAGGTTAAATTCATAAAATTTTTCACCGGTTATTTATATATACATTCGATTTCACATTGCTTTTCTTTCTAAAGACTGTCATCGTAAGTCGGCATTGTAGTGCGGCTTGATATATTACCGAATTCTTATATTATCGAATTCTAATTTAGCTTTAGGTATAAGCCCCTGAGTAAGAATTTTCGAACGACATTAAATTTCGAATCAATTTAATTGATATATATGTATACAGACATATTATGTTGGTGTGATTGTAAGACGAAGAAAGGTTTAGATTCGAAATTTCAACTTTTTGAGCTTCAGTTAAATATTATTCCGAAATGCAATTTTAATAATTCTCTAATGCCGTTTTCTTGAAAAA